AGGGAGAGCTGAGTCCCTGATGCAGAGAAGCTCAGATTTTGGGGAGCTGAAGGGGGACCTTTGGGAGAAGAAAAGCCATCAAATAGGTACCCATTTTGCTCCCACCTTAGTTACTGACCCCTGCTTCTGTTCATCATCCCCGTTACTGATGTTCTCCAAAGCCCTCACAAGAGTTTTAACTTCTACCAAAGAGGAAGTCATGTGACCACACCTCTGCATTCTAGAGAGAACAGATGGCAGGGAGGGGCTACAATCGGCGCCTGCATCCCTGGGTCTCCACTACTTGATAAGCTCTGAGAAGTCCTAGCCCCAAGGAGGGCCCAGGAACTGTGGCCTAGTTGCCAGGTCCTGGCTGCAAGACTTACGCGTGCATGCTATCTGGGGGCCCTCCCCGGGGGCTCGGAAATGTCCATTCTCACAGGCACAGATGGTGGCCCCCTCGGACACTGCTGTGCTATGTTGGGGGCACTTGAGACAACGGAGTGTTTCCAGGTCTCTTCGGTAGAAGCCAACAGGGCAGGCTGGAGAGAGAAGGCAGAACCATGTTTTTTGTTTTTACACGAGAAACCAACCCTACTCACTTTTTACCCCACTCCCTGGAACTGGAAGGTTAAACTCACGGGAATGGAGCCCTGGAAGGCCCACCCCGCGCTGCTTTGGCGCCTGGAAGGCCCACCCCACGTGATTCCCTGGGCTTCCTACCACCACATTTCTTACCAGTGCACCCCACACTGCCACTACTTTCCTCATAGCCAGGCTCGCAGAGGCACTGGCCCACGGGCACCAGCCACTCGCCGTCAGGGCTGCAGTGCATACGCGGGGTACCCGAGGACCCCGGGCTGATCTGCGCATGGGAGAGGCAGGTTCCAGCCACTTCTACTAATCCTCCAGGTCCAGGGAGAGTGTCGGGGAAGTGGGCCAAGCCGTGGACAGTCTCTGCACAGCGTTGGTAGAACACTCTGACAGACACTAGGGCCACACAGGAACCCGGATTGTGGAAAGCTAGGTAGAGTCCACGGTGAGTCAGGCGGCCCAAGGAGCAACGCTCTACATTGAGCTTCACAGAGCCAGATGCCAGGTCTCTGATGGTGAAGCTCTGGTCTGCAGCCACGGTTGTTACCTGGGGAGAAGAAGGGATGCCCATGCTTCATCCCGGCGTAACAAGCAACGTTTGGTTTCATATAGGCTGACTACCTCTAATGCACAAATCTGAAACCCGACGTGCTGCCGAGCTTGACAGTGCTATAGGGTACCACAAATGGAAATGTCTATTTATGACCTCATGTGATGGAGCCAACAATAAGGCAATCACACTGCAATTTGTATAAAAGTACTTCAAGCTACATGTATAAGGCATAGATGAAACATAAAGATAATTCATAGTTAGAATTGGGCCCCATTCCCAACCGGGCATTGGTGGTGCACTCCTTTAGTGCCAGCACTTGGGAGGCAGAGGCAGGCAGATTTCTGTTGACCAGCCTGGTCAACAAGAGCAAGTTCCAGGACAGCTTCCAAAGCCACAGAGAAACCCTATCTCGAAAAACAAACAAACAAAAACAAAAACAACAACAAAAGAATTGGGTCCATCCCCAAGATATTAAATATTCCAAAGTCTGAAATCTGAAACATTTTGGCTAAGGAACGCCATGTGTACACAGCCACGATGGAAGAGCTTGACATAAGAGGTCGCAGGGCAAACATTTTGTAGACATGCTGTATATAGCTCACGCAAGAACCCTGGGAGATACTATGTCTCACATCTCACTTAACAGAAGAGGAAATCAAGGCTCTGACAAATTGGTCCTTCTAAATAACAGTACAGCTATGCCATGATGGAGTTAGGACTGGAATCCAGTCAGTGGAATGCTACAGACCATAAAATTTTCCTATTTAATATTGGGAGGTGTTCCTAAGATGGGTGCCAAGGAGGTGATCAGTTAGAGTGTGTCATAACTAATTTATTACCAATAACAAACTTTACAACCCTTTGCTCCTTGGGAAAAAACAAGAGTCCATCCTACAACCAGCTCAGACTGTTTTGCTTTCTAGCGTGTTCCCATGGCATGAAAGAAGGTCACGGTACTAGTGATTGGTAGCCAGGAACTACCCGGTGTAGTTCCAGCGATAGTCTTGGGGGCATGGCACATAAGAACATGATGGGTAAAATGTCTGAAAACCACCACACTATTCCTCCCCTTTCAGCGATAGCACCATGCTATTTCAATGGATGCAAGAAGTAAGGCTGTTATGTGAGGAGGAGGCCAATGTTCAGAGAGGTTAAATGATGCCCCTGAAGTCAGAGCACAGCCAGCGGCACTCACTTCAGCCTTGCTGGTACTCTGCCTTGCATTCTTTCCCTTCATCTACTTTCACACCCGCCCTGCTACTCCGTGGCTGAGCTGGCTCACGGTGAGAATCTATAGCAGGGGTGGGATGGCACGAAGGAGCAGCGGTACCTTTTGGAACAAAGGCCGTCGGAGCTGAATGCCCACATCCTGGTCACTCTCCATGTAGAGAAGGTTGAAGGTCTCCTTGCACCCCAGAGGCCCAGCTCCCCCTGGGAAGCTCTTACAGTCCCGCACAGTGAACTGCAGCTCCACGTGGACGCGTGAAGCTTCCTCCCCCCGGTAGATCCAGTTGGAGCGAAGCCAGTGGTTTGTGTCTCCACTCTCCTGTACTGGGCAGTCCTGGTACATGTACAGCGGTGTCCCGTTCAGCATTTGTTGTACCTCACTCCACTGCAAGAAGAGAGTCAGACTCAGTGACCAGAGCTGTTGAAGAGGGAGCTGGAGTCGGAGCTCCCCGGTTAATGTGACCTGTCCCACCTCACTGTACCCCCAGCCCCAGCAGCGTAGGTTAAGTGTTTCAAGCTGGGGGGTTACTTGGACTTGGGGCAGATATGGTTTTTATACCCTAGCCAGCTCTGGTTGGTCTCTTAATTTCTGGTTGGCTAGGACTTCTGACCTATTCAATCAGCAGAACTGTCAGGTACCCTGCCGAAGGCAAGCTTATTCAGAACCCATTTGCCTGTTTGTTCAGAGTCTTAGTTTTCAAATAGTAGAGCCTCTCTGCCCTTGGAATACAGGGACAAGCACAAAATTGTCTACATGGAGATCTAGTCTGTCCCTTGACTTTTTTTTTTTTTTTTTTTACATTTAAAGAATTTTTAAATCTAGTAATCATAATGGCTGGCACTACTGTGACTCCCCACAGGCTACTGATATAGGGCCACTATGGAGTAGCTTGCCCAATATCTGAGGGACTTAACTTGGGCATTAAGAGGCAGAGTTGGAACACGAAGCTAGGTACTTCAGGTCTAGAATTTATGCTCTTATTCTTTACATCTCTGCTTATTATAGCAGGTTAGAGATTGACTTACAAGGGTAAGGTTTTCCCCAATCCTTCCACCTTTATTCTGAGAAATAGCCATTCTTAATGGTTTGAAATAAAGCTTTCTAGACCACTTTCAAAACTTCCCGAGAAACCGTCTAAATGGTTCTGTGTTTTTAGAATAAACGCCGTACAAGGGTTATTCTGTAGCTTCCTTTGCTGTAACAAATAATGCCTTGGCATTATGCCTATAGAGAGCATACAGACCTGATTTCTTGTTGCAAGAAATGAACAGCACCCCATCATATGGATCAGCATTGTTTAAACAGTCACCTACTGTTGGGTAATTACTTAGTTTCTAGCTACGTATTTATTTATTTTAGGGAAGCAGACAGACAACTATAAGACTTCTATGGAACTGCTGAATCAATAGACCAGAAATTTTATGAGATGTTGCTGAATTGGTCTCCAGTTCACATTTTCATGAAAAGTGCAAGAGAGCTCATTTTCTAAAAAGCTCATCAGAAGGGTTACTAATGTCCTTTTCATCTTTTGCCAATCTTATGGTCAAAGCAGCTTAGCCTTTGCAGTTGCATTTCTTTGAAGGAGGGAGGTTGCATGTTTCTCTTTTGCTCATTGGCTATTTATGTTTTTATTAAACTCTGCTATTTTCATTTGGGTAAGCTTTTTAAAAAATGCATTATAGATACTAATTATTTGCTTGGTTTCAAATATTCTCAGCCATACCACATTTTTGCTAATGGCACTATTTATGTGCGAACACATTTTATATTTTTGCATGATCACATCACGAGTTTTAGGCTTTTTATCTTTTGGCCTGAAAATTTTGTAGGTTTTTTCTTTTTTGGTTTAAACTTTGATTTCACCAGAATTTAGTTTTTGTATCTGCTCAGAGAACATGGAGAGGTGTTTTCCCTTTCACTCTGTAATAAAAAATTACAGACATTCAGTTGCCAGTATGGTGACAAATCAATACTTTTGGGGACCACTGCACACCCCAATATTTACTTGGTCACTGAAATGATTACTTAGGGGGGAAAAACCCTGTAAGTATAGGATTAGCTCATACAAGCTGCTCTTAGGTAAAGACATTTACATTTTGGAGGGGATTTACATTGTGAGCCATCAGTACCAGGAAGAAGGCTGCACAAAGAAACCTTCTCTCACCCCAGAGACTTTCAAATGGACGCAGCAGGACAGCCTTTATTCACCTCACACTTGGGCCGTCACCACCGCCCCACCCCCTCCTTTCCAAAGCTCAGGATGACACACAAGCTTCAACCCTCTGAACTTTTCTGGAACCTCATCCTGTGTGAATGAAGGTAATTAAAATAGTGTTTCCCCTGTTAATTCATCATCTGTTGTCACTTTCACAGGCTCACTTAGGGAAAGGGAAGTAGTTCTGCCCCCAGCAATACTTTCCACATTGGCTTGAAATTCCATGGTCACCCACATGAAAATATCATGCATGGGGATTTGTGTCTGGACTTTCTATTCTGCTCCATTGGCCTGGGTGTGCTGGTCAACATTCCAGGTTTTAATTACTGTCGATGTTCTGATTATCTGTCGGTGGGATAGACATCGTACTTCATCAGTGACATTCTTTCTCTTGAACATTTCCTCGGCCAGATTTAGCTAAGAAGCTTACAGTGCTCACTTTGGCAGCACGTACACTAAAATTGGAACAACATACAGATTACAATAGCATGGCCCCTGCACAAGAAAGAAAGATACATACAAATTCCATAAACCATTTCACTGGTATTTTGGATGCCATCCCATTATTTGATGGAGAAGAGACCGAGGCCCTGAGGAAGCTCATCCTGAGATTTTATTCCACTCCAGTGAGCGTGCCCTCATGACAAAAAAAAAGTACCACTTAAGAATTGGTAGGGTGGTTCCATCCTGAAGCATGTAATTCTGCATTATGTCACAGAGTTCAAAGATCAAGAGAGGTGTCCAAAGGCCACAACTCCACCTGGAGTTTGTACTGTGGGGAAGCTCTGCTGAGGAGCCCAAGAAAAAGGCATAGGGCACAGGCAGGTGGACAGGATGGTTATGGTAATGCATGGCAGCTCAGCAGCCAGACTGCCAAGGCTGCAGCTGGAGCCTAGGGAAACAGATGTTCCCAGCTGTGGTGGCCTCTTCCAATTCCAGCTGTGACAGATGGGGCACAACTATCATCCAGGAACAGCACTGAGGATCCTTTCACGTGACACTCAGGAGCTGCTGGCTGTTACATGGGTGTGCGCTCGGAGCTTGGCTCTATGGACTTAATGGGTTTTAGAAAGAGGGAGGGCACAAGGAAGAGATTGGGACGGGAGCATAGCTGCTGGCACCGGAGCGTGACAGGGGCCTGGCTTCCACTGGGGCACATTAGGGAAGACTGTGATTCGGGTGGGGCTGGTGAAGCATAAGGAAGACCCAGTGGGAGTCAGCAGATGGTCCTGATGGCTTCCTTGTGGGTGATTAGCTGGTTTATGAGAAAAGGCATTAGAGTTGGCCTAATCCAGGATTTTGGAAAGGGCCCCTCCTGGAGGATATATTATGGTTTAGTCTGTTAACTCTAATTATAGGCCACTCCGTGGAAGAGCTCCAAGGAGAGCCTGGACCCTCCAGTCCAAGAGAGAAAGAAAGCAATAACTGATCCCAGCAACAACAGCAGCACATGCCTTAGGTACTGGATTAAGGAATGGAAATCCAGAGAACAGGTCCAGGACCAGTTAGTAAATCTCCAGCCCCAGAGGTACTGTCACGTGGCTCTAAGGCCAGATCTACTGGGCTGCAGCAAGGGTGTCTCTGGACGTTAGGCCTGAATACATTCTTTCTGACACACTAATAACCCACCTCTGCTCACTGGGTCTCAGGGACACCTAAGGTGGGAAGGAACCCAGAGCTGGTTCTTTCTTTCTCAAACAGCTGGAATACATGGTGCTTGTGGAGCCTGCCTGGGAGGGATGGAGCACAAGCCCAGTGTTCAGGGGCCTTGGAGGGGAGCAGAGTTTAAGTTTGAGGGAGCCAAAAAACCTTGGAAGACTTTGATGAAAGTTTTGGCTCTCCTCCGGTGTGTGTGTGTGTGTGTGTGTGTGTCCCCATACGTCATTTACACTTTTATGGAGCTCTCTAATGTTCTGCAACCCTTCCACCTAGCTTCACTGCAATGAACAGAGCTGAGACTCCCGGATGCTTTCCAGGTGTCAACCTCATCCAGCTGACAACCTTCCTTTAGCATAGCCATGCTCTCAGTAGGGGATGTGAGCCACCCCCTCCCCCTATGGTAAAAGGGTAAGACTGTGGATAGTCCCAATGGAGGGAAGTTTGACACCCCCCACTCCCCACAAGTGCCATTCAGGAGGCTCTGACTCAGCTTCCCCTCCCCCTCTCGAGGAGACACTTCCAGTTTTTCCTGCTCTTTTTTTGTTCCTCCACCCACCTCTCCACCCCAATTTCCCACTGGCCTTTACACTTGAACTCTCCCAGGTCCTTCAGACACTTACGCCATCCTCCGGGGGATCCAGAAGCCAGCCCAACTCTCCTTGTGACTTGCTTGTGTCCATCAGAGTGACTGAATGAGGAGAAAACGAGAATGTCACCTAAGGGGGAGGAGGCGCCCTACTATGTACATTGGGTATCCTGGGACTTCCCAGCCCGAGGTCCTGGAGTTAGGAGTGAAGCACTCTAGGGATTACAGTGGATAACTTCAGAGTGTGACGGGAGCAAGGAAGAGCGGGGCAAGGGTTGGAGGCTGGTGCTCGAACCAGCGTCAGGACAGCAAGCGTTGGAAGAGCAACCTCAGACAATGTGCCAGCGGGGTCCGGAAGGACTGGAGGACCCGTCTGCTGCAGGGATGCCACGGCGGACGTCAGGGGAGATAAACCTTTGTAGTCCTGAGTGGGACCCTGGCAGGGGCCCCTGGTGGAGTTTGACTTCTGCTGTCAACGGCCAGCACTGGTAGATGAGGGTGTAGGAGGTGGGGTGCTAGGCACAGCTCTGATTTGGGGAAGTGGGAGGGGCACGGCCAGGGAGGGTTTGCAAAACTTTAGGTGTGAGGTTGGACCCCTACACCCGGGAGGCCCCGAGTCCTAATTCCTTCCACCAGTGGCGGGGGGCTCTCTGTGGTCTGGTTAAGCCGGCAGCAAGGGGCTTCCTCTCTCACTCGGGGTGGGCACAAGGAGGGTCGTCCCCCGATGCTGCAGTGGGAGTGCAGCTTCCTGGCTGTGCTCAGGACCTCCCTCTCCACCCACAAAACCGAGCAGAGGGTAGGGGTGACTGATCCCGTGGGCAGGAGTCTGGGGTTAAAGACCAAAGATTGGCCTGGCCAATCGATCTCCCCGCTACTGGGGCGAAAGAGTGGGGTGCGGAGAGGAGGG